AATCTTAATTTAGGAAATTGTACCATGTACATAATGTTGTTGTTAAATAAATAAAAATAAAATGCACACTACATTGCTAAAAGATCGATTCAAAGCAAATGATACATTGCTAAAAGATCGATTCAAAGCAAAGGGTGTCTTGTAGGTTGCCAGTTTTACAGCTTAAAACCACTTTGACAATTTTCATAGTATTTGTTCGATATATAAACATGGTCTACAATATGTGGTTTTTATGATTCAATTGGATGGTATGTCATGATAAGATTATCCACTAAAGCAATCGTGCATGAAATCGACGAGACACGTAATATTCGTCCAAATAAATTTGGCTATGAATCGCTTGGTTAGGATCAAGGACACAGGATGAACACATTATTAATTTTCAACATTATCGGTTGTGGGTTGGGTCACTTCATGAAGAAGAAGACTAAAAATAAGACGGGGTACTTGGCGGCTAAGACGGATATTGCTAAGTCATACGATAGGGTGGAGTGGTGGTTCCTAGAAGGCGTAATGCAACGCTTGGGTTTCGCAGAAGGATGGATCCGACTAATTATGATGTGCGTTAAATCAGTAACTTATGTTGTTCTGGTTAACGGACATAGATCGCATACGTTTGTTCCGAGCAGGGGATTACGGCGGGGAGATCCCTTGTCGCCCTATCTTTTTTTACTGGTAGCAGAGGGAGTATCGAGCTACATGTCCCTGGCCATCACTCAGAAAAAGCTCCATGGAATTTCGGTGGCCAGGGGTGCCCCAGTGATTTCACACCTTTTTTCAGCTGACTATTCTATCTTTTTTGTTAGAGAAACAGAAAAGGAGAGCCGAGAATTAAGAAGGGTGCTTGCAGATTATCAAAAAGAATCGGGCCAGCTGGTTAGCCTGGAGAAGTCGGAGGTGATGTCTGGCTCTAATGTGAAACCGCATCAACGCTTAGTGGCAAGCTCTAATTTGGGTATGAAGGAGGTGGACAAACATGATAAGTACTTGGGCTTTGTGACTGAGGTAGGCCGATCGAAAAAGGATCTTTTTATCTACCTGAAGGACCGTGTTCGTAAGAAGCTGGCGGGGTGGAAAGAGAAGTCAATGTCTGCTGCAGCGCGGGAAGTCCTAATTAAGTCAGTGGCTCAAGCTCAACTGACGTACACTATGTCGGTCTTTAAGGTTCCCGATGGGATTCTTGATGAAATACATGGGTTAATTACCCGGTTTTGGTGGGGTCAGAAAGGTGAAGAGAGGAAAACTCCTTGGGTGGTGAGGGAAGCGCCGATCTGTACGAAGGAGCAGGGAGGTATGGGGTTTCGAGACCTGAGGGGTTTCAACCAAGCATACCTAGCGAGGCAACTGTGGCATCTGTACCAACGACCAGAATCTCTAGTAGCTCGGATCATGAAGGCGAAATATCACAAGAATGATAGTGTGCCAGAATCTCTAGTAGCTTAATGAGTGCTCAGGATTTCTTGGTGGAAGGTCTAAGGTGACAAATCGGGAATGGGTCGGCTGTTCGTATCTAGGGGGGATTGATGGCTGCCCTCAACATCCGAATAACTTTATTCAGTCCCCACCAATGGGTCTCCCGATAGACTCGGTTGCTCGAGATCTAATTGATGACGAGGAGGAGAAGTGGTATGAGACTATTTTGGAAAGTTGCTTCCCAACTGATATGGTGGAAGCTATTAAGCAAATTCCATTACGGCATTCGGAAGAACAAGATAAGCTGATATGGACGGATTGTGTCGATGGCCATTATACGGCTAAGAGTGGGTACATGGTGTGGTTGAGTAAATTTCAGGAACAACGTGAGCCTCGAAGTGTTGGGGACCTGGATAAAGGGTACACAAACGAAATCCGCAACGCAGTGGTACCTGCCCTTTCTGCGATCAGTTCAAAACGCAGATACATGCATTCAACGAGTGCTCATGGGAGAGCAGGTTGTGGCGAACATCGATGGTGGCACATTGTTTTGAGCTTCGAGAGGATCGCAATTGCATGGATTGGGTTCGAAAGGTTATAAAAACCGTCCAAGTGAGGGAGCTTAAAGAGTGGATTGTCCTCTTATGGGTCACTTTGGAGGGAACGCAATGCACACCTTTTTAATGGGAAGAAGATGGAAGAGAATGATATTGTTCCAAGAGCGTCTCTCTACGTGGAGGAGTATTGCCACCAGCAACAGCACCAAGACCATACACAAACCCCAGTTGCTTGCCAGTCCTGGACGAGGCCTCCAATAGGGAGAATAAAACTCAACACGGATGCATGACTGGATGAGGAAGGTGTCGGGCTGGGCGTGGTAGCCAGAGACCATAATGGTGGGTTCATTTTGGCGGCAATCAAGAGGATTAAAGGAATCCTTGACCCTACGATGGGGGAAGCTCTAGCAGTGGAATTTGGCCTACAATTGACACGCCAACATCAGTTAGTCTCACCCATTGTGGAAACCGACTGTCAAGTAGTGGTGAACAAGCTGAAAGTGTCGGAGAAGGTACAAACAAAGCTGGGAGCGGTTCTCAGGAACATAACCAAGCTGGTGTCTGAGGTTAGTGAAGGGCAAGTGCAGTATGCTAGTAGGAATGTCAATGAGGCGGCACATATTATGGCTCATACCAGAGCGAGATGGAATATAGCGGATGTATGATTAGAAAGACCACCGCTGAATCTGTTGGATCAACTTGTAAGTGATGATGTAACGCCGTTGTTGTCATAATAAAGCTGAAGCGCAGGTTCCTATAAACAAAATACCTTAGGCCTTATACACGTAGTTTTTGCTCGAGGTTTTTAGTTCGAGTTCCCCAACAAAGATTAAAAATATTTGTTAATGTTTATTTACCTTAAGTCTAATCTTACTCAATCACTCTTTATGCTTAGTTCTAGACTAATGTGAACATGTTTTAGTCAAATTGTTAAAATACATAATCTTTCACTAAAATTTCTTTCATCAAACCTACTCAACTGATTCATAAAAAACAAAACCCTACTCAACTGATGATCTAAACTAACAAATTCCCCATCCTTACCGGGCTAGCCTTAGTCCTAGTGGCTGAGCCACTTGGAGAAGAGGGGGTGCACCCCCCTTGGGTTTGGAGAAAAAATTCCCGAGTAGGGGTATATAAAAATTTGAATCAGTGACCATTCAGTTGCAAGAAGAATTTCTTACCATCTCAACCGGGTGAATTTTGTTATGCAATGCACTTTCGTCTTTATTTAAAGTAATAAATTATTGTCTTTTGTTTAAACTCGCTCATTTCTTTTGTAGCTCTACAATACAGAAATTTCTTGTCTTTTGTTTAAACAAAGCTGAAAGTGAAGAAGTACCAATTGAAGTTCACTTGTTTGTTTCACAAAATCAATTCCAAGGTACTTCTGAGTTCTAATTTGTAATATTTGATGAATGGAAGTCTTGACTTGTATGTACTGAACTTATTTGTTTGACGTTGTAACCAGTGTACGTGAAACTATTTTAATGTAATTGTATGAATTTAGAGTATTGCGTTGTTGACTTTTTGTTTCATTTAAAGTTGACTTTTCTATTGTATAGGTGATTTTTTGTGATATGATAAAGACACCCCTTAGCCAATTTTCTGGCTCCGTCACTGCTTAGTCCTTGACCAAGGATTTTTATACATTGGTAGAAGCCATGCTAGATCATTTGCTAAGGTTTTCAAAGTGGAGTCACTCAACCCTCAAACAATAATGTTGACGATTAATAATGTGTTCCACCTTTCTCCTAAACCATAACCAAGTGATTCATGCCTTAGTGCAACCAAAGCTATATATACGCTAGCAGAGGCCATTCTAGGCCATTTGCTTACTTTCTCAACTAAGACACTTAACTGTAACTTATTCTCCTCAAACTTTTAATTATTCCCGTAGCTTAGAACATTAATGTAAGACATGGTTATGATGGTATTTTGATGGTGAGAATCCCTAGCCAATATTACTCAGAAATAAAAAAAAATCCCTAGCCAATAAGGCATAACATTTAAATTTTATTACTATTTTTTGCACGCGTCTTTTTATCTTTACTTTGGGAAGCTAATAAAATCTAGTTCGATTTATTTTAATAGTTTTCAATTTCATGATTCAATGTTTATATTGTATATAAAAAATAGTAAAGCACATGTGATCCAATATTCATATGTCGAAAAACAATAAAACTGGATATGAATATATGAGCCACATAAAATAAAAAATCATTTGTTCAAAAAGGTAATGAACATTTTTTAAATGAATATTTATGAAGAGATATTCATTTAACTTTTTTGAAAGTGTAAGGACAAGTCAAACGAAACATACTGACGGAGGATAGACTGATCGTAGAATAAATGTTATTAATCATGAATAGGGATCCATTTATCTAATGCTTATGCTTAGAAAAAATAAAATTTGAGATTGTTTAAATATTCCAACGCAACATAATTCGGCCAACGGCCAGGTACCAAGCTAGTTAATGTTATGTACATTTCCTTATAGTATGCTACTTAGCTATATGTATTGAATTTCTATATGGTTTGGAATAAGAGCTAGCTATATCCTTGCTCGATTTGGAGGCCGGCCATGCAATATGCATGCATTCATTCATGACCAGTAATTCCATTGATTGCTTTTGTAATAGAAAGTAAAATCAAAATTAATCAATGACACAAGTTGTTATCAGCTTCATCTAATTGATTTGGAAGAAGATATATGAATGATTTCTATGATATGGTCTTCTTTGAAATAAAACTTGTTGAAAATGAAGAAGGTAGATAAGCAACTGGACACAGAGGAAGAAAATGGGAGGTTCAGGACGAAGAGGTTGTTTAATCTTGTAAGATCCTCCCTTGCTGTTGTCATCTTGTTCCCGCCTTCTGCAAGTAAAGAAAGAAAACAAAGCTCCATGCCACACTTCACGGAATGCAGATGCAATCCTTGCCTAGCAGTCTCAACACTTGACTGCAGTTTAAGTTCGTTCAAGCGAATGTACCTCAGAGAAAATGTGTAACATAGGCACGCACCTCTTTTTACCATCTCATGTTCAGTTGCAACCTGAATTTGGACAATCTTGGCTGGCTAATCAGAGCATTAGCATCCGTTCCTGCAAAACGAAACACAAAACTCGACCGCAGAGCTGCTTCAACAGACAGACAGCTTAGCATCATGATTGAATGAATGCCCTTGTCAATAAACAGGAGCTGAAGAGAGAGGAAACCATCTACAAAATGGAACACTTGAAGCTCCATACAGAGTTTGTTTACCCCCCAAAAGACTCGAGTCATTCATAGCTTTCAAAAATAACAAGCACGAGGCTCTCAATAAAAGTAAAAACAACAAACACTAGCCACGATCTTGCAGCAATGAACATAGTCAGTCAGGTGAGACTATCTGCCTCCACTGCCTCGAAACCGACCATCATATCCATTTTCTTGTACAGGCTTTGGTCACTCAGGACAAAGTCAGCAAACTCAGGAACAAAACATGTATTAAAAGCCAATGTCCTCAAAACCAGAAGGTAACAAAACATGTAGTAAAACGAATAGGCAAGGAAAACAAATTCTTACAGATGAGATAAGTCCCCACAGGTTGCGGTTGATGATGCGGTAGCAGCACAGCATTGACAGGAGGAGGAACAGGTGGAAGAACCTGAAAATGTGAGGGCAAACGTCAAGGACGCCCACATTGTTGATTACAATTTCATTACTGAGTTAGTTTGCTTGTGGGATTTGAGTGTTGTATTTGGCACCCAAATACCAAGTATTATGTATTTGGTGAAAAAACATTGTTTGTTGAGGTATACAAATCCGTGGGTCCACGGATTTGGATATTTTTTTAAGTTCCAAATCCATGGACCCCACGTATTTGCAAATACCACACTATGAAAGACAAATTTTTTAGGCCCAAATACCAAATGAACTCAATTCATGATAAAAATTCAACTAAACAAACAATGTATCTTTCAAATACAAAATGCAATAAATCCATCATAAATCCAAAGGTTTTCAAAACTCAAAACCTTTATTTTTCAAATCCAACAGCAAACGAGCATATTTGGAATAGAAAGAGGAAGAATACTGACGACGAGCAGCTTGGCGGCTGGTCTGTTGGACACAACAGGCGCAGCAGCAGCTTCCGTCGTATGCAGCTCGGAGTTTTTCGTAGTTTGGAATTGGGGTAGGCCAGCAGGATATCCTAGGCTGGAACAGCAGCCAGGGATGTGAAAATTCATCATCAAAGACGCCTTCCTCCCCCGTCCTCACATCGTGATACAATATAACGTCGAAGTCATTATACAAGAAGACAATTTCCGGGTCGTCTGGATGCAAGCAGGCAAAGTAGCAACGTTCACGACTGTAATTACATGGTTTTGACGGCTCTTTCAACGACACTTGATATACTTCACTCCAAGATATATGTTGGTGGTCGTCGTCCTCTTCCTGTCTCCAAACAGTCAACAAGGGAGGTGCAGCAGAGTTGTGAGCAAGTCGAGCTATGTGCAAAACGCCTTGCGAGATTGAGATATCAAAAGGTTCCCATGAAAATCCAGGATGATTATCCACACGGTATGGAGGTCTATCGAGGCGGAAAGGATCAATGCCAAGAATTGGAGGAATTGCAGCAGATTCCGAGGCATAGCAAAAGAACCTGCCGTTGCACGAAACTACTTGATCAATATAGGTACTATATTTACTGTCAAGGACAAGAGCCCCCTCGGTCCAGGCTCCAGACTCGGAACAAAACACGTCTAGTTTTGTAGAGCCATCCCCTCCCCCACCCTCTCTATACATACACACCACCCGAAACCGATACTCGGAATGAACAAATACTTGGCCATCTCCAAGATCAAGCTCGGGATTAGAACGAGGTTCACAAACTAACCTCGCAACCATTCCAGCACGTTCCTCCCGCGACCGTTTAGGCATTAGAGGAAGGGCAACCCATTGCTTGGTAAACGGATTGCAGACAAACCAAGACCTGCCCATTCCGGGATCACAGACCCACATCCCGCACAGAACCAAGTCCTTGAAGCAATCGAAAACACGGAAAGCCCCTTTGTAAAAACAACAAGGCAAGGGGAGGAAGCTCAGGATAACGGATTCGCGATCCCTTGAGCGAATAAGCAGCGATGGGTATCCTTCGTTCATCCTCTGGTGATGGGAGACGAATCGGCGGTTGAAATAGGGATCTGAGATCAGAGAGTTCCACCGCTTGCAGACCAGTTTGCAGCGGAAGGCGGACCTCGGGTCCGGAACGCGAATTACAACTTCTAAGAGGAGATCGCCTCCCAGTTTGCTGATGCTGCTGGAAGGAGACGGAGACGGAGGGTTTGGGACTCTAATTCTATGCAGTTCCCCTGCCGAGGAGGAGCAACGGAGAAGACGCAGATCCCGGGGCGCCATAGTTATAGTTTGGATTGATTAACGCCGCTGGAACTGGAACTGAAACGGCTTGTTTTCTTTCTGTCCCATCCCTCTATTTATTTGTAAAATTTTGAAGAAATTTCCTAGTCCTTTGGGAACACGGCCGGCGGCCGGCTACTATATATTTAGCATCGTCGGATTAGGATTCTAGTCCCCAGCTTTTCATTTTTCAGCATTTTGAAAATAGAGCTCTCAGAGTGATTTCCGGATGGGCTGTTGTAATAACACAACTCATCAGAATAAATGTTGCTGTGCGTTTTGGTTTACACAGCCCAGTTCTCGGTGGCTTACATGGGCCAGAAGAAATAGATTTTGACATCATTTGGGCCTGTTGTTGGTGCCCTCATTTGTAAACCCAATCCCACGATCTTTGTGGTTACGCCCACCATGAGACAGAGTGATTCCGCTTCCCATAGGTTCTATTACCACCAAAGTTGAAATTCCTTTATCTTTCAAATAACTTTCTAAACTTGCTGTTTCACTATGTTTATAGGTTGTCATAAATTAATCAAATTCTATAATTAAATAGATGAATAAGTTCCAAATAATAATATGCTTCAACCTAAAAATTTAAAGTAGTATCAATTTAAAGTGTTGTGTGGTGTGATTACACTTCTTTTTGCACGTAATCGTATTCTCGAATTCAAAATTTTAGTTCGCATACCAGATTACGATTTTACCCTTAAGGTTAGGCCCAGGCCAAATAATGTTCGGTCCACTACAAGTTAAGGTCAATGGTGGCCCAAAAAAAGAACACAAGCGGCCCGATTCCGGGAGAAAGTTGTTTCAATATCCATTATCCTACCTAATGTAGTTTGGAGTTTACTATACTAAAAAAATTTGGGCAGCAAAATCAATATCATGCTCATACCCCTATCAGTACTCGGGTATCAATGGCTTAATTTATCTTCATAACTCCAACCGACATGCTAACATTCACACTTATGCTAAAATTACATTAGTGAAACAGTACGGTGATAAATCATTCGAATGCAAACAAAGAAAATTTGTTGATAAGGGTGACATAAATTGATTTTTTATAATTAGGTGCTACTAAAGGGATTCAACCCATATTGAGTTTTTATAATTAGATGCATAAAATTAGTTAAAAAAAATTTCACGAAAAGATTATATATGTTTTATAAATATCAAATATTTCGAGAACAATAATGACAATTTTTAGATAAAATACATAAGCATGTATACTATTGGACTAGTTCCGGTTGGCTAGTAAGAAAACCATGACCACCCATTACCCACAATATTCGAATTCTGATTTTCTTAATACCCACTGAAAATAGTTCAGGTTTGAATTTTACTTTAAATAATCAGATCTAATTCAGGCGGCTATCCATGATTGATAAGGGTAACATAGATTGATTTTTTATAATTAGGTGCTACTAAAGGGATTCAAACCTGATTGATTTTTTTTATAATTAGATGCATATCGTTAGAATGCATAAAATTAGTTACAAACAATACAATTATATGAAAATATTATATATGTTTTATAAATATAAAATATGTTGAGAACAATAATGATAATTTTTAGATAAAATACATAAGTATGTATATGATTGGAAGTCGGACGAGTTTCAATTGGATAGTAAAAAACCCATGACCACCCATTACCCACAATATTCTGATTGTGATTTTATTCATACCCACTGAAAATAGTTCGGGTTCGAGTTTTAATTTAACTAATCAGATCTAATTCAAGCGGGTATTGATGGTTGTGGATATTTTTACGCCAAATCATGATTTTGATGTATTTATTGAGCTGGGGAAGTCAAAACACATATGGGTATTAAGTTACTTTTTATTTATACCCCGCATAGTGTGGAGATATTGGAGAGGACTATGGAGATATGAGGTGGATCGTCCGATGATGATAATCAATTAATTTTAAACTATGTAACTCCCTATAGGTAATAGGCAAAGGGGGGGTTGAATTATTGGAAAATTGATGTTAATATTTAATTATTACTTTTAAGTAATGTTTTCACTAAAAGTAGGTTTGATCTCGCAAAAATGTTGGTTTCGCCTCTTTTAGGATTCTCTTTTGATTTAAATTGATTAAGTTTATTAACTACATATTTTCATGACATATGTTCATTTTGTATTGGCTTAACCCTAACTAATGATCAAACAAACCTTGACTAATAATCGTGCCTCCATCAAGATGATAGACACTCAATCTCCGGGGCATATTATAATTATCATTAATAGTAATTATCAAGATATTATTAGATATAGTTAGTAATCTTTTTTTTTTGGGTAGAAATAGTTAGTAGTCTTTGAGTCATATTAGCTCTATTAGGTTTTTTAGTCTTTCGCAAGGTTGTCAACCCGCGGGTTGACCCGCGGGTTGACCCGCGGGTCGACCCAATTTGACCCTGGCCCGGTGAGAAAAACTGGCCGCACGCACCCGCCGGGTCGACCGCTACAAGGTACCGGGTTGGAGGTCAAATTATTTCATTTTTTTCATTGATTTGCGAAATGCGCCTATTTTCCGATTTTTCTTTTCGCCTAACTCAATTTTTGAAATCCTAAGTTGAACATTTGAATATTTATGTTATATAAGTGTGTGAATTTTCACTATCTGTTGGATCTAAGTACGATATGCTATTTTGGTGTAATATTATATGTTATAACTCATATGTTAGATAAGATTTGATATAATTTATGAGGATAATTACAATATAATGACTCTTTCCATATTTCCGGGCCAAACCGGGCTAAAACGGTCGACCCATTAACCCTTGACCCACTAGCTCGACCGGGTCCGGGTCAACCCACGGGTTGATAACCGACTCTTTCGTTATAAATATGTACATTATATTTTATTCAGAAGCAATGAAGAAGAATATTAAGAAAAGTCTCACAAACCCTAATCTCCTTATTCTCTCAATTCACGATCTCAACACTCTAAAGGCTTCGGCTAATTCTCTATCTTTCTCTTCTCAACTCCCTAATTCTGTTCTTTAATTCCTAAATCCCAATTCCACAACCTTACCGATAGAATCCTAGAAACAAGTTCTATCACCCCCACCACATCCTTCCCCACCCACCCTCCTCCCACACATAAAAAAAACTTCAATTTTTTTTTTGCTAAACATACAGACGCTATAAGCGTCTCATTCATTCATTAATAACACGATTCATGGTGGTTCCCATGATATCGTAATTAAGTGTTACACTCCGATATTTGAGTTCAGGTTCGACCATAATAATGAGTGGTTGGATTGACGGGTAAGTACGAAAACTCAACCCCAAAACCAAGCCGTATTTAACTGGACCAAGATATGGATAGTTGGTTGCCATGTCTCTTTTGCGTTTGTAATAATAATATTTTTTTTTTATCCAAGATAAGCCCCCAGGGCATGGCCGGACAACACAATTATAAGAAAGACACCAAAAAAGAACGGTAGTCCGTATGCAACCGGACTCCCGATAAAAGAGCCTGTTTTGCCACGAGGTGGGCAGCTCTGTTGAAGCTCCGAGGAGAAAAAGACACGAGACTGATAGGAAGGAGGGAAAAAGAGAGTGCACTTCCTCTAGAATAATAATATTAATTATGCTATTATACAAATACCAAATTGAATGTACTCTAGCTAACGAATTGAATGTACTCTAGCTAACGGAAGGAAAGGGGTTATAGTTATGATGATTAAAATGGCTATAACGGTGGATGGTAGGGGGAGCGGATCGTGTCAGTAACTGATGGGTCAGTAATCCATCAGTAACTCCTTCTCTAATCTTCACGTGTCAGTCCTCTTTTTTTATTTAAATTAAATGCGGAAGGGCAGTAAGGTAAAATTGCACTTACACCTATTTTAATACTGACGCTGACTTTTGACCGGACCACATCAGCACCTCCTTCTCTCTCCTCAAAAAAGCTTTAATTTTTCTTCTCTTAATCTTTAACGGACGATTTCTCACTCGTTTTAAGTCGGAATTTAATTTTTTTTGCACAGTTAGATCAGATTAATAGTGCCCTTCAAAATGATATCCACTTTGATATTTTTTGGACATAAAAAAATTTCCAGTCATTACCAGTCTATACCACATGGTATGGTAATATCAATATATATTTCGTTACCACCCAATACCATATGGTATAGTGTGGTAATATCAATATATATTTCATTACCACCCAATACTATATGGTATAGTGTTGTAATATCACACAATACCATATGGTATAGAGTGGTAATATCAATATATATTTCGTTACCACGCAATATCATACATTACCATAGGGTATAGTGTGGTAATATCAATATATATTTCGTTACCACCAAATACCATATGGTATAGTGTGATAATATCAATATATATTTCGTTACCACCCAATACCAATATGGTATAGTATGGTAATATCAATATATATTTCGTTACCACACAATACCATATGGTATAGTATGGTAATATCACACAATACCATATGGTATAGAGTGGTAATATCAATATATATTTCGTTACCACCCAATACCATACTTTACCATAGGGTATAATGTGGTAATATCAATATATATTTCGTTACCACCCAATACCATATGGTATAGAGTCATAATATCAATATATATTATCTAAAAGGGAAAAAACAGAAGGAGGGAGAGAAAAAATCGTCTTCTGATGCCTCTCATTTCCTCTTCCTCAATCAAGAACACCAAAATGCCAAAAAAATGAGAAAGATCGAAATTGAGGCCAACGAGTTGATGAAGAGAAGAAATGCAATGAAAGAGAGTGGCTACAATTTTTATTTGTCGATTGCTAGAGAAAAAAAATGAAGAAGAAAGAGAGCAGATCTAAATTTGAAAAGGAGATTGTGAAAGAAAAAGTAAGAGAAAAGGAATAGAGAAAGAGAAAGGATCTGGAAAGAGATTGAAAGAAAGGAAGAGAGAAGGAAGAAAGTTGAGTTGCAGAGAAAATGTCATTTTCTCTCTTTCATTGAAAAGTCAGTCATTGAAATGAGG